TCGTCCTGGGGGGAAAGTCGGAAGTCCTCCTCCTCCTCCTCCTCTCCTCCTGCTCCTCCTCCTCCTCTTCCTCCTCCTCCTCCTCCTTTTCCTCCTCCTCCTCCTCCTCCTCCTCCTCCTCCTCCTCCTCCTCCTCCTCCTCCCCTCCTCCTCCTCCTCCTCCCCCTCCTCCTCCCCTCCTCCTCCTCCCCCCTCCTCTCCTCCTCCTCCTCCTCCTCCTCCTCCTCCTCCTCCTCCTCCTCCTCCTCCTCCTCCTCCTCCTCCTCCTCCTCCTCCTCCTCTCTTCTCTCTTCCTCCTCCTCTCCTCCTCCTCCTCCTCCTCCTCGCCTCCCTCCTCTTCTCCTCCTCCCTCCTTCCTCCGTCTCTCCTCCTCCCCTCCTCCTCATCCTCGGCCGCCGCCGCCGCCTCCTCCTCCTCCTTCTCACCCTCCTCCTCCTCCTCCTCCTCCTCGGCCGCCGCCTCCTCCTCCTCCGCCTCCTCCTCCCTCTCCTCGGCCGCCGCCGCCGCCCTCCTCCTCCTCCTCTCCTCCTCCTCCTCCTCCTCCTCCTCCTCGTCCGCCGCCTCCTCCTCCTCCGCCTCCCTCCTCCTCGGCCTCCTCCTCCTCCTCCTCCTCCTCCTCCTCCTCCTCCTCCTCCTCATCTCCTTCTCCTCCACCTCCTCCTCCGCCTCCTCCTCCTCCTCCTCCTCCTCCTCCTCCTCCTCCTCCCTCTCCAGCCCTTTTCTTATACATACTTCCTCCCTGTCGTATCCCGAGACGGTCGGCAGGGTGGGCTGGGCGTTTCGTCTAGCATGTCTTCGCCGCCGCGGATCCTTCACCAACACGTGCGTGCACGGAAGGGGCCCTAGCGGAGATTAAAGGAGGATCCGGCGAGAGTGCGGGGCCGATCTCGGTCGGCGGCGGGGTTCCCGGGTTCTCGGCTCTGGGTTTCCCGGGGTTCCTTGTTGCTGGTTGCGGGCCGAGTTCGATGGGCGGCGGGGTTCCCGTGTTGCCGGGTTCCTTGGTTCTTGGTGGATTTCATGACGATCGGTCCCGCCATCGTTCTCACCACCCACCTTTTTGTTGAGCTCACAATTGTGCCCACTATAGATCGCACGAGCGATCCCACGATCGTTCTCACTACCGATCTCACTGAATCGACTTCACGATCGACCTTACTATCGTCCTTACAATCGATCTCACTGTCGGACTGGCGATCGATCTCGCAGTCGATCTCCAGATCCATATCACCAATGTTCACACCATCCTTTGATTGGTATTTTTCTCTGGTGTAGATACTTTTCGAAATCGAGCCAGCTTCAAGGATGGAGGGCGGTTGGTTTTCAAAATGCTGTTATCTCCTTGAGCGCCGCGCGCATTCCTTTTAGAAGTTTGCAAGAGCTTCACGGATGGAGGGCGGGCCGTTCTGGAAATGCGGTTCCCTCCTTAGCGCCACGCATCCTTTCTTTTTTTTTCAACTGTGCACGAGCTTCACGGACAGAGGGCGGGCCTGTTTGGAAATGTGGATCCCGCCTTAGCGCCGCGCACATTCGTTTTAAGAGTTTGCAAGAGTTTCACGAGGGAAGGGCGCGGCGTTTTGGAAATGTGGCTCTCGCCTGAGCGCCGCGCAGATTCGCAATTTCATGCTCCTCTATCAAAATGTGCAAGGGCTTGGCGGATGGAGCGCGATCCTTTTTCAAATTGTGGTTCTCGCCCCAGCGCCGCGCACTTCCGTCGCAAGCTTGTACAGCATTGTCAAGGAGTCTTCTGATCGACGTCCCAGAAATGGCCTTCCGGCACGATGTTAGATTGTCAAGGCGCAACAGTCAGCCCTCCTCGCCGTCAACGCGGGCACCCTGGGCCGCGCATTTTCGCAATCACATAACCTTCTGGCAATGGAGAAGGGCAGGTCCTGAGGCCTCCAGGGCCTGCAGGCTTCTGCTCCTCGACTGCAGCGCCTTCGCAATCGCGGAGGCGACGGGCGCGCGCGCCGCCGTAGACAAGCGCTTGCTTGACGAGCTAAGCCCGCGACCGGCCACCAGCTTCTAGTCGACATGCCCCGGCGCGTGCCCGACGAGGCCACGCGGGGGGGCGTTCGTCGCCGCCTTCGCGTTCGCTTTCAGGGCGCTGCCTTGGGGCCCCCCGCGTAGAAAAATGGCCCGCGCATGGCCGCGCCATTCTTCTTTTCCGACGAGGACCAGCTTGCGCGCTGGACACGCGCGGTGCTATTCCTCACCTGCGAGCGCGCCGCCGTGCACTTGAGCAGGCGCAAGCGCATCGAGCGCCTTGTCACGCATCGAGCGCTGTTGCTAGTGCGCGGCGTGCAAGACCGCCGGCATCGCTGACCGCGCGCCCGCTGCCGCCCCGCCGCCCGTGTATCTGTCGAGCGCGCGCGCCCTCGGCTCGGTGCGGCGGTGCGCCCAAGAGGCTGGCGGACGCGACTTCGCGCGTTTTTGTTCGCTACAAGTTTCGGCAGCGTGGCCGCGCGGGGACCTCGCGCCGCGGCGGGGGCAGGCGACTGTCAGGCGCGTTCGTCGAGCACGCAGGTCGAGAGGAGCTCGAGGGCGACGCCGCGCCGGAGGCGCTGCCGGCGGGCCAAGCCCCCGCGCGAATTTTCGAGCCAGCTTTCTCGCGCCGGAGGGGGGCGCGCGCCAGCGGTGGCTGGCTTGGCTTTGCTTTTCCCGCCGCCCCGCGGCCGCCTCTTGGCCACCAGAGGCACTGAGGAGGTCGCCGCCCAGGCGCGCCCGGCCGCGGCGCGCCGCGGGCGGCGACTGCACAGACCCGCTGGCGCGGCCCGCGCTCTGCAGCCGCCGCGCCGAGCGTTGGGGCGCCGGCGGCCCGGCCGGCGCGGTCGCCGCTGCGCGCGCAGCGTTTTTCAGGAGGGAAAAAACACACAGGCACAATTAATCCTCGACTCCAAGGGAAATATTGGAAAATATGGGAAGTGGGGGGAAGACAGAAACCCAGAAAATATGGGAAAAGATTGGGATTTGTTTTATTTGTGTGTATCTATTTGTGTGTCCTGGGGCCTCTTCCGTTTGGGGGTGGCTCCGCAAATCCGCTCGCGGCTGCCAGGCGCAAGCGCGCGCGTCGGCGAACGGGGGTGCGGGGGCCTCGGCGGCCGCGCCCGCCGACGAGAGACGCCGCGCGCGGGAGCGCTGCCGCGCAGAGCGCGTTTCGGGCGGGGGGGGTCCGCGCGCCGGCCTGCGCGCGCGCGGGGCGCACGTCCCGCTCTTGCGGCAGCGGCGCTGCGAGGCCGCGGCGGGCCTTGCGCCGCGGGAGGGGGGGGCACAGGGGCAGGCTAGGGGAGGCAGGGGAGGAGGAAAGGACGCGGGGGCAAGGAGTCCTTTCTCGTCGGGTTCCCTCGCCCCCCCCCCCCCCACCCCCAAAAAATATGAGGAGGAGGGCCAGGAGGAACAGGAGGAGGAAGGGGATAGCGCCGGAGGTCTCCTAGGTCTCCTTGAGTCTCTCTTGGGGCCCTCCTGGGACTCCCGGGCCCTTCTAGGAAGCGTGTCGGAGCCTTCTTTGCCGCCATCGATCACAAACGAATGGTTCCCTGTATGCGCCCCCGCCGAGGCGCGAGAATTTGCATTCTTGAGGCGCTGTTGGTCGGTTTTGACGCCGTCTTGGGGCCATTCTGGGTGCCTTTGGGGCCCTTTTGGGCAAGGCAACCTTGGAGCCTCCTGGAGCTTAAAGAGCCCATCGAAAATACAAAGGTGGAAACTCTAAAAGCATTTGGAAACAAGGATTTTGAATGATTTGTCGCTTCCCGGGTGACTCCTTGGGAAACTCCTTGGCCATTTGACTCCGCAGTGGAGCGCATCTGAGGTTTCTTTGAGGCATGTTGGAACATGTTTTGGACTAATGTAGGGTATTTCGGGCGATCTTGAAGACCATCTTGGATTATCTGGATCCTTCTTGGAACCATCTGGACTCCCATGGGGAGGCGACGCACCCCCGGGACCCCCCCGACCCCCCACCCCACCCCACCCGCGCCCCCACCCACGGCGAAGGAGGGATCAAACGGGAGGAGGGGGCCTCCGATTCGACCATGTCTTTACTTGTCCATCCGCCATCCGGCTGGCACGTTGAGGGCAGCAGCGGCGACGATGACGACGACGACGACGACGAACGAGTCAAACGACGAACGATTCACGCCGACAGGGTTGGCGGATTTGCAAGCATTCAAGACGAGCTCGCGAGACAAACGAGGCCCAGCATCCTCGAGAAGACCAGGTTGCACGGCCCTGCTGCCTCCGATCCTCCGCCCCCGCCATCCAAATGGAGAAAGCGAGGAGGAAGACAATCGAGTAGGTATCCCCAACATTTTTGTCGTTATCTTTATTTCTTTCTTTCTCTCCCTCTCTCTCACACTATATATATATATATATATATATGTATGTATATTTGTCTGTTCCTCTTTGTTGTGGGTCCATGTTCACTTTCTCTGCACAGCGCCTTGTTGTGCTCATGCATTGCCTTCAAAACTAGATCCGAGACGGGTGCTTTAGGCTCAGAGCTGAGGCTCTTGCTGAGGCTCCTTGTAGTTCACACGCCAGATCGGTGGACTTTTACGTTTCAAAGAAAATATGTTCGGCTTTGGGGCGGGCTGGGAGCCACCGTCTGGAAACGAATGTTTTCTCCATCCGTGTAATTAGCGCTTGGGCAGTTCACGCTTCAGGGCCATGAGTGTTGGAGAAGTCTCATGATAGCGAAACGCCCAACTAGGCCTACCCACACTCCTGGAGATGCGAGGAGGAGGAGGAGGCATTTAGTAAGCACGGGATGGATGATGATGCGCAGGAGGATGGGCGAGGGACGAGGTGGGAAGAAGACCGATGTTGCAGGAAGAGTTGGGAGGAGGGACGAGGGAGAAGGTGGAAGCAGGGTGAGGAGGAAGAGGAGGAGGAAGAGGAGGAGGAGGAGGAGGAAGAGGAGGAACGGGAGGAGGTACAGGAGGAGGCTGGAGGTGGAGGGAGGGTGGATGGGGGGGACACTCAAGACTGTGACGCCGACGCGCCAGGTGGCGAGGTGGCCATGCAGCCCGCGGCCTCGGGCGTCCCCCTGGAGCAGCTGCCGATGCTCATCCAGATGCTGATGTCTGAGGATGGCGCCCTCCTGGAGCATAGAGTTGTTTTTAGGGAGTGCCCTGACACGTTCTACGACGAAAATGTTTGGTAACTTTCGGATCGTCAAAACTCGGCTCGGGATGACAAGTCAGCCCCCTCGGAAGAGCTCCTGACCTCAGGAGAGCCACGTTGTGAGCATGATCAGCCCACAAACTCGGAAAGGGAGCACGAACCCTAGAAGTGCTTTAAGGTTGGCAACGAGCAGTTGCAATGTTGAGGATATACATGTGTCCGTGGTGTTGATACCACGTCAGGGATTGTGATGTGTTGCGTTTCGCTGTGCCTTGCCGTGCTATGCTGAACCTTGTGTGTCTCATGCTGTGTTGGATTATGTTCTTCTCCACTACGTTGTGAATTCCGTCGTCCTTGGCGTCTGAATCTGGACCGGACCAGATCGGGCTTTGGAGCTACCTGAACGCATGCTTAGCCCAGAGCCAGGTGTAGTCGAAGCGTGTGGGGCGCTCAACCAGCCCGAGCTCAAGATCCGACTCGGATCCGCAGCGGGACGAACCGACTGGATGGCCACAGGACGTGTCCGGGGCGCGCCCGGGGGATGCGCCAGGGACGTGCCAGGTGATGCGCCAGGAGACGCTTCAGGGGACGCGCCATGGACGTGTCGGAGACCCGCCACGGGACGTGCCGAGGGGCGGGCCGGGGGGACGCGCCAGGGGAAGAGCTCCCTGCTGACGGCCCCGGTGCATCGTCGATGCCACCGACGCATGCCTCGGCGATGCGTTTTGGCGGTGCGGCACGCGATATCCTCCAGTACTCGCGAGCAGTTCGCGCGCTCAGGAGCCCGTCGCCCAGTTCAACTCGACCCAGCAGTTCCGCAAGCTCCTGAGCATCGAGCAGAACCCTCCGATCCAGGAGGTCATCCAAGCAGGTGTCAGGCCCTCAGTTCGGCGTCACCCCAACATACTACTAAGACAATGTGTGCGTCGCCCCCCCAGGGGCGACGCGCGCGCTGAGAATTATCATCCAGCTGCCTACGGCAAGTCCTACCACCATGCCTTGTGGGTTGTAGGCCTCGTGGGATGTTCGCTGGGATATCGTGGGAGGCCTCTCGGGTGCCTGTTGGAGGCAGTTTAGAGGCCTCTTGGAGGCCGTCTGGGGGCCTCTTGAAGGTCTGTTTGGGGCCTCTTGGGGGCCTCTAGCAGCTTCTTGGATGCCTCTTGGGTCTTCCTGGGACCCTTTTCGGGGGGAAAGCTCGAAGTGTCGGTTCGTGTTCCCCCTCTAGGGCCCGTCTTGGGGCGGCCGTCGTGGGGCTCTCTGGGGCTGTCTCGAGCGCCTCAAGGGCCGTTTTGGGGCCCTTTCGGGCCGTCTTGGGACCCTCTTGGGAGCCTCTTGAGCCGTCATGGGGCGGTCTTGGGGGGTTCCTGGGGCCGTCTTGGCGCGTCGGAAGCTCGAACAGGCGAGAACATAACAAAACATACAAAAAACAAAATGAACTTCAAATGATGATTGCTTCTCTGGGCTCTCTGGGAGGTCCTCTTGGAACGCAATTGGGGAGTCTTTAATGCCTCTTGGGCACTCTTGGGGCCATCTTGGGCGCCTTAAAGCGATCTTGAACTGTCTTGGAGGCCTCTTGGCGGCCTGGGTTGTCTTCCAGGGCCGTCATGGAAGCCTTGGCGAGCCCTAGGGAGGCGCTATGGCCGCCCAGGGACCCACTGGGAGGAGGGGAGGTAGAGGTGGTTGGGCGCTTCCCGCGGAGGGGGGGGGGTCCCCTTAGAAGACGACAGAAACCCTGCCAGGCAGTCCTTGGCATCATTCCGCGCCTCAGCGTGCTGCAGGCACGGTGGCGGATGGTATACGCTCCGTGGCGGGCGCTTCCTGGCCACACCGCTCGGGAAACGATCTACAGCAAGATGGTTACACTACATGTGCGTGTCGGGCGCATGCCTCCACGGAGGACATACAGCACTAGCATGTCTTCGTGCCCGCCCCGACCACGCGGCCTCTCCAGATGTCCGAAGAGCTGCTTTGGTGTCCACCCTGGCATTTTTTGTTCCTCGAGGTCGGCCTCCTGGGGCGGGTGGTGGAGACTCGGGGCCGCCAGAAATGGATCCAGGGTGCAAAACCGCCCCGAGGAGTCGGGACCTCTGGGGCCGCGGATTGGAAAGATCGTGTCGGAGGAGTTCTGGGTCCATTCCAAGGCCTTGTGGTCCCGATGCGAGAAGATCGCGACGGAGTGTTTTGCCAATGTGTACTCCTTGTGGGGCCAGCTTCGGGCCCCAGGACTGCCACAAAAGGCTCGGGATGAGAGACAGCCCCTGGAGGCTGAGAGTTCCCACAGCATCTCCCATCGTGTTTGTTGTTGCCACGCGAGGAGGCCAGAAATGTTCAAAGACCTTCCGTCGTCCCCCACCCGACAGGTTATTCTGGGTTTCTTAATAAGCGTGGGGGGGTACCCCCCAGGGCCCCCCCCCGACGGAGTCAACCTCGCCTCGTCGTCGCGCCGCGACGGGGGGCGGAGCGCCTTCGGCGCGCGGTGGCTGCCCGCGACGGGGGGTCGATCT